CTAAATAATTATATATTTTTTTCTTCATATTTAAAAGTGCGAATTAAATTGGTGATATCGGTGTATCAGGCTTAGGTTCTGCTTTAGCAAATTGCACTAAACTCTCAAATTTGACACTTAAGCTTTGGTAAAAATAGTATATTTGTTATGGATGTGATATTTTTAGTTATAAAAATGAATTTAAAGCAATTAAATTTGTTTATTTGATTTTTATTTAATTTATTTTTCTTTTTTATTGTACTTGCTTTTTTTTCTAATATCTTTCTTAATTTAACTCATTTATTTTTTATATTTTAAACACTTATTTTATTATTAATAATTCATTTTTTACTATTTCATATTTTTTCTTCATTTTTTTCTCCTAAATAACTAATTAATTAATTATATTTTTTCTTCGATATTTAAAAAGTGGGAATTTTTTTAGTGATTAAGGCGCATTGGGCTTAGGTTCTGCTTTAGCAAATTGCACTAATCTCTCAAATTTGACACTTAATCTTGAGTAAAAATAATTTATTTGTTTGTTTTGGATTGTCATATTTTTAGTTATAAAAATGAATTTAAAAAAATATAATTCTAACTAGTTAATTAATTACTCATTTTTTCTTTTATATTTAAAAAGGGTCAATTCAATTCGTGCAACAGGTGCATCAGGCTTAGGTTCTACTTTAGCAAATTGCACTAATCTCTCAAATTTGAAACTTAATCTTGAGTAAAAATAATTTATTTGTTTGTTTTGGATTGTGATATTTTTAGTTATAAAAATGAATTTAAACATTAAAACAAACTCTTTTGGTTTATTTGTTTATTAGCTTTTTATTAAATTTATTTTTTCTTTTACTTTTTAATTGTACTTTTTTTTTATTTCTTTCTTAATATAACTTGTTTTTTTATTATCAACATTTGCATTTACTATTTTATTATGAATTCATTTCTCATTATTTCATATTTTTCTTCATTTATTTTTTCCTTCGAAAAAACTAATTAATTATATTTTTTATTCAATATTTAAAAGGAACAATTATATTGGTGATTAAGGTGCATCAGGCTTAGGTTTTGCTTTAGCAAATTGCACTAACCTCTCAAATTTGACACTTTGTCTTATGTAAAAACAGTTTATTTATTTTAAATTGTGATATTTTTAGTTATTAATTTGAATTTAAAAAATTTATAAATCTTTTAATCTCTTTATTAGCTTTTTATTTAGTTTATTTTTATTTTTTATTGTATTTGTGTTTTTTCTTCTTCATTTATCTTTCTTAGTTTAACTCATGTTTTGATTTTTAACATTTTCTTTTATTATTTATTAATTCATTTCTCATTTTTTCATATTTTTTCCTTCTAAATAACTAATTAACAATATATTTTTTCTTCAATATTTAAAAAGATACAATTAAATTAGTTCAACAGGTGCATCAGTCTTAGGTTCTGGTTTAGCAAAATGCACTAATCTCTCAAATTTGGCACTTAGTCTTAGGTAAAAACAGTTTATTTGTTTGTTTTGGATTGTGATATTTTTATTTAAAAAATGAATTTAAAACAATATTATGCTTTTAATTTCTTTATTAGATTTTTATTTAATTTATTTTCTTATCTTTTCTAATTATTTTGTTAATCTTTATTTTATTTTAATATAAAAGTGAAAACGAAATTAAAAAATAATAAGAATTTGAAGTAATAAGCAAGTATCTTAAATCAAAAAGATTAGTTGTCTTTGAAATAAATTTCAATTGATAATAAAATAAATAGTTGTGAAAAAAGGGTTAATAAATATATTATATAACATATATGTAATCAGATAATTTAGCCTAAAATATTCATACATACATACATACATACATACATACATACATACATACATACATACATACATACATACATACATACATACATACATACATACATACATACATACATACATACATAGATAGATAGATAAATTTATTATTATTTTTTATTTTTGTAACTAAATAAATAGCTAACTAAATAAAAGAAAGTTTAAAATTAAATTGACTTAAATAAGTTTCTCTAAAATCATCCCTCATTTTAACAAAAATCAAAGCTTTTAAGCCTAAATATTATCTTATATCACAATAATAGTAATATTAAGAGAAATTTACAATCTGAGTGTTTTAAGTGCCAAAATGAAGGCACTACATGCCAAATTTTTAATAATTTTTTTTCAAGCTATTTTTAACTTTTAAATTAAAAAAAATAGTTAGAAATTAATATAAAATATTCGCTTAGTTAAATTTATATTATTTTTTATCATTCATAACTCATTAAATTTTAACCCGTAAATCCTCATAAATTAATTCTCACCAGCAAACATAAATTTTCACCATATTTTGTGAATACATGTAAATAAATATGTTAAAAATTTATTTACTTTATTCTAGTTAGTTCATATTGTAATTTTCCTTTATGTCTGAAATCTGATTCCTACTATATTTTTAAGTACAGATTTTAAAAAGAAATATTAAGATTTAATAATGAATGCTATCCTATCCTAACTTTTTTATGATTTTTATTTCGAAGAGCAAATTTATAAATTCATAAAATTTATTTGTACATTTTATTCACTTATAATTAATTAATTAATTAATTAATCAAATTTCCATAAATTGATATTCAATATTTTTGTAAAAAAAATAAATGAATTAATAAATTAAATATTACGAGAAATTAGAAGAAGTAATTATTTATTTATTAATTAAAATATTTTAAATTTTTATTTACAAATATTAAAAGTTTTTAAACTCTTCACTTTAATCTCACTAAGTTCTACATATTATTCTGAGGTATATTTAATTTATAAATATTATTATTAATATTGTCTATATATTTAACTTTCAGTTTATTTAAAATAGTATTTTAATAATAGAAATGATCACCTATATTCACTCATTTATTTTATTAATACAAATGTTTTTTTAGTTATTTTAACTTAATTTTAACTTTAAATTTTTTAATTCATAATCCATTTTTTATTTTTTAATATTTTTTAATTCATTTTTTCCTTCTAAAACTTTTTATTGATAAAATCAGTTTATTTATTTTGGATTATGATGTTTTTATTTTTAAAAATGAATTCAAAGCAATATAACTCTTTTAATTTATTGGTTTATTAGCTACTTTTTTAATTTTACTTGTGTTTTTTCTCTTCCATCTTTCTTAACTTAACTCATTTTTTTATTTTCAACATTTGCTTTTATAATTCATTTCTAATTATTTCATATTTTTTAATCATTTTTTCCTTCTAAATAACTAATCAATTATATATTTTTTCTTGAATATTTAAAAAGGTACAATTAATTTGGTGCAGCAGGTGCATCAGGATTATTTTCTGCTTTAGAAAGTTGCACTAATCTCTCTAATTTGACACTTTATCTTTGGTAAAACAGTATATTTGTTTGGATTGTGATATTTTTAGTAATAAATTTGAATTTAAAACAATATTACTCTTTTAATTTGTTTGTTAGCTTTTTATTTAATTTCTTTTTCTTTTTTATTGTAAATTGAGTTTTTTTTTGTTATATCTTTCTTAATTTAACTCATTTTTTTATTTTCAAAATTTAATTTTATTATTTATTTATTTATTAATTTATTTTTTATTTTTTCATCATTATTTCCTTCTAAATTACTAATTAAATATAAATTTTTTCTCAATATTAAAAAAGGTATAATTAAATTGATGCAACAGGTGCATCAAGCTTAGGTTCTGCTTTAGCAAATTGCTCTAATCTCTCAAATTTGACACTTGATCTTTGGTAAAAACAGTTTATTTGTTTTTGATTGTCATATTTTTAGTTATATAAATGAATCTTAAACAATATAACTAACTCTTCTAATTTATTTGTTGATTAGCTTTTTATTTAATGTATTTTTCTTTTTATATTTTAATTTTATTTGTGTTTTTTCTTTATCTTACATAATTTAACTTATAAAATATATTTTCTTCAATATTTAAAAAGGTAAAATTAAATTGGTGATATCGGTGTAATAGGTCTAGGTTCTGGTTTAGAAAATTGCACTAGTCTCTCAAATTTGACACTTATTCTTGAGTAATAAAAGTTTATTTGTTTTAGATTGTAATTATTTTAATTATAAAAATGAATTTAAAACAAAATAACTCTTTTAATTGTTTATTAACTTTTTATTTAATTTATTTTTCTTTTTCTTTTTTATTTCTTAAGACTTACTTAATTTAATCCATTTTTTTTATTTTGAACAATTGATTTTATTATTTATTAATTTTTTTCTTTTTATTTCATATTTTTTTATCATTTTTTCCTTCTAAATAAATAATTAACTTTTATTCATTTTTTCTTCAATATTTAATTAGTAACAATTAAATTGGTTCAACAGGTGCATCAGGCTTAGGTTCTGCTTTAGCAAATTGCTCTAATCTCTCAAATTTGACACTTAATCTTAGGTAAAAATAGTTTATTTGTTTTTATTTAGTTATAAAAATGAATTTAAAACAAAACAACTTATTTAAATTTATTTATTAGCTTTTTATTTAATTTATTTTTCTTTTTCTTTTTTATTGTACTTATGTATTTTTTTTATAAAATTTTTATTAATTTAACTCATTTTTTTTTCTTCAACATTTTCTTTTATTATTTATTAATTTATTTCTTACTATTTTATATTTTTCATAATTTTTTTCTTCTAAATAACTAATTAACTATATATTTTTTCTTCAATATTTAAAAAGTAGGAATGAAATTGATGCAACAGGTGCATCAGGCTTAGGTTTTTCTTTAGCAAAATGCACTAATCTCTCAAATTTAACACTTGAACTTGGGTAAAAACCGTTAATTTGCTTTGGATTGTTATATTTAGAGTTATAAAAATTAATTTAAAACAATATAACTCTTTTAATTTATTTGTCTATTAGCTTTTCATTTAATTTTCTTATTCTTTTATATTGTACTTGTTTTTTTTTGTTGTTTATTTTTTAATTTAATTTAATTTGATTTAACTTATTTTTTTATTTTCAAGAATTTCTTTTATTATTTATTTATTTATTTATTAATTGATTCATTTCTGATTATTTCATAATTTTTCTTCATTTTTTCCTTCTAAAAAACAAATCAATTTTATATTTTATCTTGAATATTTAAAAAGTTAAAATTAAATTAGTGCAACAGGTGCATCAGGCTTAGGTTCTGCTTTAACAAATTGCCCTAATCTCTCAAATTTGAAACTTTATCTTTGGTAAATACAGTTTATTTATTTTAAATTGTGATATTTTTAGCTATAAATCTGAATATATTTTAATATAACTAACTCTTTTAATTTATTTGTTTATTAGCTTTTTTTATAATTAATTAATTTATTTATTTATTTATTTTCTTTTTCTTTATTATTTTGCTAATTTTTTTTATTTATTAATTTTATTCTCTTTAATTTTTTTTAGTATTTTATTTTAAAATAATATAAAATATAAGTTCAAACTAAATCAATGAATCATAAGAATTTAAAATAATAAGCAAGTGTCTTAAATCAAAAAGGTTAGTTGTTTTTGAAATAGATTTCAACGAAAGATGATAAACTAGTGGTGAAATAAATGATGAATAAATATAAATATTTAAATAATAAATAGTAAATCATATGTTTTATTACATAATATTTTGTAATCAGATAATTTAATCTAAAATATACATCGATAAATAGATAGATATACTTATTATTATTTTTACTAATATTTAATTTAGTTTGCTAAATTAATAAATAGCTTATTAAAGAAATGAAAATTTACAATTTAAATTTACTTAAATAAATTTCTCTAAAACCATCCCTCATTTTAACAAAAAAATCAAAGATTTTAATCTTAAATATTATCTTATATCATATTAAGGAAAATTAGGGGTTTCAATTTGCTATCCATAAATTTCTATTTATTATTTATTTATTTCTAAGAATTTTCCAATTAAAAATAAAAAAATTTGAAACAATGTGAAACCTAGCAATAGCCAAAATACTATATACATATAAAAGTTCTCAAAGCTTGCTATATTTAATAGCCCTTATTCTCCAAATGCTGTCTGCAGATTTTTATTTTTTAACAACATGTCATCAATATCTTCAATGATTGTTGTTGGTTTTTAGGATGCACAGCAGCACACGTAACGATTTTAAGTAATTTTAGCGATATTACAATTTTATTTGCTCCATGAAAGATTATTTTATTAGAGGCATGTCATATTATATAACCTACTAGAATTTGTATTATTAAACTAGTAAATGATAGTAGACTGATTTAATGCTACTTAAGAAGAAGAATTATAAATCTATGGTAATATTACTTCATTCTTAGAGTAAGTAAAGTTTTAACTAATATTTTTGAATTGTTATGTGTACGCCTAAAAATCTGAAGTATTTTCGTATATGTTTTACTTATAATTATTTCTTGAAATACTAAAAATGCTAGTTTAATTTTCAGAATTGTCGTCATCTATACTTAGAACGTATTTGAATAGGTTTTTCTATGTTACTTTATCTGCCAAAAGAGTGGACAAGTCACCATTTAAAATAATTTATCCTTAGTTTGGTAAGCTAATATTATTCAGTAGATTTCCAATCTAACTCGATATTTTATTGTATGACTAGAAATCTTCGTATGAGTTATTATTTTACAAACTAACGCTTGAATTTAAAATTTTAAAAGAATCCACCATATTTTAAATTTAAATATCATTATTTTGTTGTAAATGACTAAGATTACTACTTTTTATGCTTGAATTAGTATTTTGGAGTATTGTTTACAGTTAACCAAATATTTTATTTTTCTATGTGGTAACATTGTTTTATTAAGATGAGCTAAAGAGTAGTTATGATAGCTAAGCAGTTACTTTATTCGCAAATGTAGACAAAAGGGAGAATTTTGGTATTTAGAAAGAGAGTTGCTATATATTTTAAATCAGTAGAGTTTCTATATCATTCATTTGCTATGAAAGTTAATTGTTTTTACTAATGTCTTCTGCTATAATGCTTAAAATCACTAGTTAGTTAGTGATTTATATATTTGAGCTCTATAAAGCTTATGTAGTGAGTTGATTTACCAGTTTATAATATTCATCGGCTGATTTATTCTAAGCTTGAACCTATATTATAGAAGAGGTATTATAAACTCCTAGGTAAGAATCCATGACCTATACCATAACAACTAGATTTCCATTAGGTAGTACTGTTTAAATTGAGTTGTTTATAGTCTAATCTTATATTTATCTTCTTAATATATTCCAAGGAGAAATTAATTCTTGAAGGGCATCATCAGCACTATTGTAATAGAAGAACTAATAAGTTAGAGGAAGATCTTCATCTGTACAATTCAATAATTATATCTAAAAGATAGTTTCGAGTGCCATACCTTATAAGGGATTTATATTTAAAAAGCAATTCTGAGGGGGAATATTAATTTAAATGCTAACTGTAGACAAGCTCGGCATAACAAATAATGGATTGTAGACAGAAAATCTTATTTAAAGTGTTGGTTTTGAGGGATCTATATTTTAAAAATAGTTCCAAATTCTGAATCTAACTCGGAAATAATCAAATTTGATTGCTGCGACTGGATTATTATCATATAATATAGCTCCTGCATAAGACAAGTAATCTGATGAAGCATTCTCATCATAAATTATTTAAAAATTAAGATCATCATTCAAATTAATTTTTCGGTTAGTGCTTGCTGCAGTAAATAAAATATTAAGTGCAGGAATATCTAATTCTGTGAATATACAGGTAGTGGTGAAATTTGATAGCCTAGAATCTTTTTATCCAACAACTGTAAACTAAATTATAGTGTATGGCTAAAAGGTTTTAGCAGGAAAAGTAATACTACTGAATCCTTGTTGCAATTAAATCTACTTATTCTAGTAATCATAGCAGATATGGTCATTAGAGGATAGGCTATTACACTTCCAACTAAAGTTGATATTTGAAGCAGAATTTGGAACTTGAATCTCATAATCCCTTGAATCTGTATTTAAGACCATTTTATTTTAATAGCCTAAAACAAGATTAGAGCCTCCAATAATTTGCAAATACAAATCTGTAATTTAAATATTAACTGATATATTTTGGATCGCAGTAATATTACTATCTGAACTCAAATTCAAAATCAGCTATTATTAAAATTTATAATTATAAATAAATAAATGTAATTAATATTTGAACATTTTGAAGAGATTTCTTTTAAATTTCAATATTAAAATTCAATATCTCTTTATTAATAATATGGGAAAATTATTGAATAATTAGGAGGAATATTTCAAAATTACATATTTACTTGAATTAATTACATTTCTGTTATTGCTAAATTAATTAAAATTTTTAGAACTATTATTTAAATTTATCTACCCATTAAAGGATATTTGATGGAAAAGTTTATATATATGCTATGATGGTGTTTGTTAATAATATTTATAAAAAATTTACACTCATATTAAAGGTTTAGTTAGATGCTAATGAGTAAGGGAGAATATCATATTGAAAGCTTGATTAGTTGTATTTAATTAAGCTTTACTTTTAAAGCTGGTTAGAAACAAGTTGTAAATCAACAGGCTCATTAAAAAAAGTTATTTGGCCTAACTCGCATTTCTCTATGTAAAATTAAAAGCAGAAACTCAAGCTCATAAATCTATTTATTATTTTAAGGAAAAATAATATTTATTGATTGATGAAATAATTGATTATAAAGAAAATTAACCTATAAATTGGTGGGTACAAAGATTGCTAATAGTTGATTCTTATAAATTTTTATATTTGGTAAATAATTGTGAACACTTAAGAACCAGATTAGTTAACCTTAAGTAAATAACTAAATTATATTGTTATATTAATATTTGGGGGTATGAATTTAGGATCTATTATTAAACTTGTGTTTTTGTTTTGGCTTGCTTTTAATAATATCTCCTTTATACTTTCTTACTACTCGTTGCTTATCGAGCCTAAAATTTGATTTAAAGTCCAATTTAGACTCATAAATTTTCTTCCGGCATCGTTTTAAATGTTGTAAAGAGTTATATTTATAGAGTTACAGCTATTTTCTATGTGATTATAGCTAAATTAAAGTTAAGGGATTCCAGGGGACTCTTAGAAAGTAATGTTTCTATAAAATGTGTTAATAAACGTGTCCTTATAATCTATAAACTGCAGCTTATTTGGCAAAAAATTAATTGAGTTATTTTCCATGATTGTCGATGAGTCGCCTATTTATTAAATAAAATTAAATTTAGGTTAAATTATTTAAAAAATGAAAGTATGCATTTATAAATTTAATGAGTTGAATTATCGAATATTTAATAAAATTAAGTTACTTAAATTAGCCAAAATTTTATTCCCTCTGATTTCGCATTAAGAATCTAACCCAAGAAGGCCTAATGTTACTTAATCAAATATCTATGAACACAAAGACTAAGGTGTATTTGATATCATATTCATCAATGGAGATCCGAAATCAATACTGAGCTATGGAGATGTAGCACTTAACTTTGCATCAATGACAGCAATATTTTCATAGCTGCATTAATAAAATATATTCCTTGTATCATTTTAGTTTTTGCAAAGGCATTCTTTACTTTTAACATCTATTTATCTTGTTTCATTATAGCAGGTCTGACATTATTAATTTTAAATTTATGACTAATCACATTATTTACAGTTCGCATAGCAGGGATTGCATTATAGGCTCCAATAATTTTAACATTGATCACATGTGAGAGCAGTAAAATTGCTTTAAAACCCATTTGGACAAAGGCTAACACAATTTTTATTGTACAGAAAGCTGTTAGGGTAACAACTTAAACAATTATTTGAGTCCTTTCCATCACAGCTTGCACAACTTTAATCACATAACTAGCATAGCTATAATAAGTAATTTGGAAATTCATTTTGATTACAAGATTTTACACACTGTTTTGCAGCTTACTAATAGTATAATTAAGAGTTACAAGATAAACAATTAGTTTAACTGGGACCATCACAAGTTTTACAAGTTACATCGCAGATACATGATTTCTTGGCTTAATTATAATACAGCCCAGGACTGCAAGATAAACAATTGTTAGAATTTGGTCCATCGCAAGTTTTACAAGTTGAATCACAAATACATGACTTTGTGGCTTAATTATAATACAGCCCAGGATTGCAAGATAAACAGTTATTTGAGTTTGGACCATCACACGTTTTACAATTTGCATCACAAATACATTACTTTGTGACTTAATTATAATACAGTCCAGGATTGCAAGATAAGCAGTTATTTGAATCTGGACCATCACACGTTTTACAAGTTGCATCACAAATACATGATTTTGTGGCTTAATTATAATACAGTCCAGGACTGCAAGATAAGCAATTGTTTGGATTTGGACCATCGCAAGTTTTACATGTTGGATCGCAAATACATTATTATGTGGATTAATTATAATAAAACCCAGGATAACAGGATAAACAATTGTTAGGATTTGGACCATTACAAGTTTAACATGCTGAATTACATAATTAGCATTAGTTAAATTAATTCACAAATTAGTTATTATTACAAGAATTTACACACTAGTTAGTTTATTGCTGAAGGTAATACCCAGAATAACATTATAAGCAAATCTAATTATAATCACATTAGCTACAATTTGTTTGGCACTTTATATATTATGTTAAATAAATATTTTTAAGTGAGAATTCAAATTTAAAAAATTTAAAGAAAAATTGTTTTTAAAAAAATGTAAAAAAATCTTCAATATTGTAAAATTTAAAAATGGTTATTTATTTATTTATTCATTATATATTTTCCTAAATTTATTTGGCCTTTTTTTAAAAATGTTAATTGATGTGGTCTTAATTTTAATTAAATAATTTTTTAATATACTAATTAATCAATAATATAATAGGCCTCTCTCTACGAACAAATTTAATAATTTAATTTACCAATTAAACTAATAGAATGATCATTTTAATAAAAATTTGATACTATTTCCCAATATTCGTATTGAATGGTGTTATTCTAATTGTTAAACTATCTACATTTTATTATTACTTAAACAAATTAAAATAATTTCTAGAAGATTTATAACCAGGATTATAATATCCTTCGTCGCTTATATAAGGGATTTCATTTATTACAGCTATCGATTATAAATTAAGGTTAGCTGGCATATCGACAAAAAACATATATATTAAATCAAAGGAATATATCTTTGTATTCCTAATTAATTAATAAAATATTTTGAAAAAAATATTATCAAATTAAAACATTAAAAATAAATTAAATTCTCTTATTGATATTAAATATAAATTGAAGCTAAATTAATCTTTGATCAAAAAAAGATTTAAATATTGCTATCATAATTTTAGTTCTGTTAATTATTTTTTTTACTGGATTTCAGGAGTATATTTTATTATTATATCATTATTTGATGTACAACTACTCCCTGATAAGTATGTATCTTTGAATTCTGGAAAAATCTTTAAATTTAAGCAACTATTGTCTAAGAAATATTTTTGAATATTATCTATATCAGATTAAATTGCAGGGTTGAAATAATTAATTATGCATTAACTAACTTAAGTTTATAAAAAATGATTTAATAATAAAAACAATAATTAAAAAGAAATATACATACATTTAGGATTGAAAACTGCTTAAGGCCCTTTAAATTGACTGCAATCATCAAGTTAATTACAATATAACTATTTTAAGACTGTTTAATTATTAAAATAAATAAATAAATTATTTCTGCATATTTTATTAATCAAAAATTTGACTTTGTAAAATAACCAATAGGAATGTTCTAATTTTCTAAGTTTTCATTATTAATACAATTTATTTTAAGGATCTTTAGATTTATAATTGTTTTTGATTAATTAAATATTATAAGATAGATTTACTCTTAATCCATTTATAAGTAAGTTATCTGAATATTTTTTGCCAAGCAAATAAAAAATAAATTAATATCATTTGAATTTTATCTTACATTAGATTTAAATTTTAACTAGCTAACTAAACCCATTTAAAACTGTTTTTATTCTTAAGAATCTTAAAAATAACCATTTTATTAAATGTGATACATATTAAAATGATTGGATATTTAAAAGATACTTTATGTATGTAAATGATTATAAGCCATCTCTCAAAGCTCATGTTTTATGCCATTCATTATTTTCTTTTAATTAGAGACTATTTTAATTCAAATTAAGGATGGATGTAATGAACTACTTATACCCAAATCAAAATTGAAATTCTTTATATACTTGTCAGTATAACGTAATTCATACAATATCTTATTTATTTATTTATTTTGGTAAAGTATCCTATTATTATAAAGAAGAATTTGAAGCTAATAGGTAATAGTCAATTAGTCTGATTATTTCTTAAAACTTAATCCTGCCTTTAGTTTTTGAAAAATAAAGAGCAGCTATTACACTAAAAATTAATATTTTCATTTAAATATTTGCCAAGCAAATAAAAAATAAATTAATATCATTTGAATTTTATCTTACATTAGATTTAAATTTTAACTAGCTAACTAAACCCATTTAAAACTGTTTTTATTCTTAAGAATCTTAAAAATAACCATTTCATTAAATGTAATACATATTAAAATGATTGGATATTTAAAAGATACTTTATATATGTAAATGATTATAATCCATCTCTTAAAGCTTATTTTTTTTGCCATTCATTATTTTCTTTTAATTAGAGACTATTTTAATTCAAATTAAGGATGAATGTAATGAACTACTTAAACCCAAATCAAAATTAAAATTCTTTATATACTTGTCAGTATGACGTAATTCGTACAATATCTTATTTATTTATTTTGGTAAAGTATCCTATTATTATAAAGAAGAATTTGAAGCTATTAGATATAGTCAATTAGTCTGATTGTTTCTTAAAACTCAATCCTGCCTTTAGTTTTTGAAAAATAAAGAGCAGCTATAACACTAAAAATTAATATTTTCATTTAAATAGTTTCCATACATCCATTTTTTAAATATTTATAAAATTATTAACAAAATAATTTTATAAAATACTAATTAAACTTAGATCCTATATAATGATCATCTACAAGGTCATATAATTTAATTCTACTATTTATTATTTATAATATGTTAATTTTGGTAAAGCATCCTATTACTATTAAGAAGAATTTGATGTTTACAGATAATAATTAATTAGTCTGATTAATTCTTAAAACTCAATCCTGTCTTTAATTTTTGAAAAATAAAGCAGTAGCTATTACATAATAAATATATATATAAATTGATTTAAATAATTTCCATCCATTTTTGTGATATTTTTTTGGAAAATAAAGCAGTAGCTATTACATAATAAATATATATATAAATTGATTTAAATAATTTCCATCCATTTTTGTGATATTGTTATTCTATTAAAATAAATTTGTAAACCAAAAACTAAACTTTAGTCCTAGATAATTATTAGCTACATTTATGTCAGAAAATTTAATACTAGAATTTCCTTTTAACAATAAATTAACTTTGGCGAAGCATTCAATTATTACTAAGAAGAATTAGATGATTACAGTTAATAATCAATTAATCTAATTATTTTTGAAAGTTCATTCCTACCTTTAATTTTTGAAAAAATAAACAGGAATAAAACAAAACAAATGAATACATGCATTTAAATATATTCTCTCAATTTTTAAAATATTTCTAATTTTTAACACTTTAATATAATAATCTATTTTAATATATCGCTTATTCTTTGTTTTTGTAATTTATTTTTAACTTAAAGATACAACAATTATAAAGCTTATTTACATTTAAAATTACTTGATATAAAATCTAATGAAATATTAATAAAAATGGAGGTAAACAAAGAAAGCATCGTAATATCTCATAGAGATATTTTAAAAATTTCATAAATCTATTTAAAACTGAAATAAAAATAAATGTTTTTATCTTTAAATTAATAGAATTATTTTTTTAAAGGTAATACTTAAAATTGTAGCTCTCAAATAAACGCAATTAATCTAACTCTTGACATAAGTAAATGTTAAAACACTACTTTATTTTGATCACATTTTAATAATAACACTCTCTTTGAATGAATTCCTATCTGGACGTTTAAAAATGGAGTTCAATGGTTTTAATTATTTTTATAGGAATGGATTGTAAATTATTGATTATGTTTCTCTTACTTTTATGCTTGAAATTAAAATAAAATTGAATGAACTTAGATCCTATCAAGAATAAAAGATTATATAGAAAGATAGATAGAATGAGTGAATATCCATAATTTAGACAATAAAAAAATATCTATCTATTTTTTAGGTGAAAATTAATTAATAAATCTATTTGGTTCTAAATTAAGAATCTAATCTTTGATTTCATCTTAAGTGATATTTACATACAAATACTACCCTATTTCCTGATAAGCGCAACCGATAGAGTAGCTGAAGGAACCCTAAATAAAAAAATCTTTAATAAAAATAAATTAAATACTTGGAACTATATTTTTTATTAGTAATATTAATTAATTACAGTTTATGAATATAAAATATATTAATGAATTTAATTCTATTCTTTTTTTAGCTGACAAAAATATGTAAATATAAATAATAAATAAATAAATAAAATTAATTTATTAAAAATAAATTAATTAAAAAATGTTTATATTATTTGGCTTATTTAATTAATTATAATTCATTTTATTATATTAGTTAATAAGGTAGTTTAGTTAGTTTTGAATTTTTTGGCATAGATATTATAGTAATTTTTTATCTTTTGAGAGTTCCTAATTTTAAACACCTTTTATAAGGAATAATTAATAAATAAATAATTAAATGAAAAATAAAAATAAATGTTTACTTCTTTGAAATCACTGAATTTTTTGATTTTAACATATTATCTAATAATTTCCCAGTAGTTTTAAGCTTATTAAATAATTTGTTTTTTCTTTTTACTTTTTAGAAAATAGATTATTTTATTTATGAATTAAATTTGTAGAAATTCTGCCATCATTTTACTGATCAAAATTAAATTAATAATTCCTGCTAAAGTGCCCCAAATGATTTATGTTGCTATATTTTAATTTTAGGCTGCATCATTTATGAATACAATTAATGTAATTGTAATGATAGATGTATCCATTTACAGAATGCAAAGTCTTTCCATTTTACTGCTATTATATGGGTTTTCTTTTAAAAAACATATATTATGTATTAAATATAAATTTGTTAATTAATTAACTTACATATTAAACTTAGTAGCTTTTGTGCTATACAAATAGATATTAGGAAAGTAATTTTTATAGTTGAATTTTATATGTTTGAGCTTAAAACAAATATTATCAAAAATATTTATATTTATCTGAACATATCAATAAAGTGGGATTGAACTTCTTTATAACCATGAGTAAAATGATTAAAACATAAGATTCCAAATAATCTGAATCTGTATTTTTTTATTGCCCAAATTATAAACAGAGGAGTTAGAAAGCCAAAAATTAAAAGAGTGGGCAACAAAAAAAATTTCCATTTCATATGATATGAATCACATTAAAGAGATGTGGAATAGAGTACGTAATCTACTCCGTTGTTCGTTCCACAGTTAATCTGTTTTTATTATTTATTTAAGTTAAAATAGATTAAAAAATAAATAAATAAATTAAATTACAGTTTAACTCAACAGATGAACAATTGATGGCGAGTAGATGAAGTAATTTAAGCTAAAAATAAAACTTATAAAATGAATAAAATAGCTTTTTGTGAAATTATTTATGTATTTCCATCTTATTTATCTTGACTTAAACAGCATTAACAGATAAGCTAATATTATAATCAATATGTTTATAGCTAAAAAATATAATATTGAGATTATATTTTTAGCATAAGCAATCGGAATTTAATTGACAAAGCAATCAAATGATCGAAGCACGAATTCTTAATATCTTGCTAAAGCAATAAGCAAAAATGTTACAGGCCATGGCAATTAGAGCTCTAGCTATGTTATCATAAAAAGCAACTAAAAGTAGCAAAATAAAATTTTAAAACAAATAATTGTATGACTTTTCTACTTCTAACGAAAAGAATCTAAGAATTTCATGCACTCAAGGGTGAAATCGCCTCTTTTAGAAAAGTAAAGTTGAGTCTAATAAAGTTTGCTCCAAATATTGAAAATGACAATCAATATTATAGACAATGTAAAAATCTAAAGAACAACAGCTATTACAATAGTCTATAATACATTACTATCTGTGCATCTATTTTAATTAATAAAATTTTTTTAGATGAATTTTTTTCATATAATTTTTAAGGAATCTGATATAAATATTTTTAGAAAAATAGTTACTTTTAGCATCTATACTGCTCATATCTCATGTATTTAAATTACCAAAATTCACCTTAATTATCACAGTCCTCACAAAAAATGCCAGTATTACCTATAAAATTTAATTAACAAATCAATATAGAGTAATTCCTATTTATCTCACTCCTCAACATAATTCAAAGAAATTGTCTTAGGGAGAGGATTAAATTAATTTTTCATAAAAAATTAAATGAAAGGCCTTTATTTCTTTTTAATAAAATCACAGGTAGATTTATTAGATAAATTTTGGCAAATTAAAATAAAAAAAGCAAGAGGGCTAACTACTTAGCTTTCAAATTTCAATACCTGGATTAGCAATATTATCAGATTTAAAAAAAGAAGATTTTCAAAAATTCAAATTAATTAATAAATTAAAGTCAATTATTAATTTTAACTTCATTTAAGGAGAAATTTTATATTAAATTTAAATAAAAAAAAACATAAATTATACCTTCTGCACAATAATATATTGCCCAATTAGAAGTTGCCCTGAGTTAGTTTAAAAGAGAATTATCTCTCTTAATATCTCCTAGACAGTTTTGACTCCAATTACTACATTGCTGGATATCATCTGTTAAATTATTTGTTCTATAGTAACCATCTGTAATTTAAATAACACTGGAAGAGCACTAAAATGAAGAAGATTAGCATTTTTAACATATAGATTAACCAGATTAAAGGTTATAAGTCTTTTCTAAGCAATAAACACATGAATCATAGGTATTGTTTATTTTTGTGCTTCTTTGGCCTATTGGACACTCATTTAATATTTAGAAATCAACTTAAAACGTTATATTTTTATTTATTTAAACAATATTTCCCTATTAATAAATGGCTTGTCCTAATTTATTGCATGAAAATACTACTCTTGACTTTTAACCAAACTAGCCAAAAGCAGCTAAATTACTCAAGTCAAATAAATTATTTTAGAACTTAATTTTATTATTTTACAAAATTAGTTTCTCTTAATTCGGTTCATCTGCTACAATTTAAACTTCTAAATAAATATCAGTTTCTTCCAAATTTTTGTAAATTTAGTATTTATCATTCATCAAATACACCACAAAAGGTTGCTTTTAATTAAAAAGATAAAAATTTTATATGTAAAAAATAATGAAAAGTTTATTCATAGAAATAATGAAAAGTTTATTCATAAAAATAATGAAAATTTTATTCATAAAATATAATGAAAACTTTATTCATAAAAAATTATGAAAAGTTTATTGATAAAAATAATTAAAATTCTATTCATAAAATACAATCAATAAAAAAAGTTTATTCATAAAAAAAATGGAAAATTTATTCATAAAATATAATCAAAAGTTAATTCATAAAGATAATGAAAAGTTTATTCATAAAATACAATGAAAAAAAAGTTTATTCATAAAAATAAATAATGAAAAGTTTATTCACAAAATATAATGCAAAGTAAATTCATAAAAATAATGAAAATTCTATTCATAAAAATAATCAAAATTTTATTCATAAAATATAATGAAAACTTTATTCATAAAAATAATGAAAAGTTTATTCATAAAATATAATGCAAAGTAAATTCATAAAAATAATGAAAATTGTATTCAAAATGAAAAGTTTATTCATAAAAATAATGAAAAGTTTATTCATAAAATATTAAAATATAATGCAAAGTAAATTCATAAAAATAATGAAAATTGTATTCAAAATGAAAAGTTTATTCATAATATATAATGAATGAAATTACTTGAATTTTGCCTGAAACTATTTTAATATTTGAATTCTGCTGGACAAGATTGTTATTGAAATACACTTGAAAGGAAGAAGGCAATCCTAAGAGATTAGATCCAGAAGAATAAGCCTTGTTACTCAAAATAAAGCTATTTTGAATATAGGGAAGATTAAATGTAGAATAGTAGCCTCCACCATTTAATGCAGAATTGTAGATCACATAACTATTTTGCATGATGACATTATACAATTGATAGAAATTCAGCAGGACTGGATCGTTATCAAATAAAGTTTGATTAATAAAATTATAGATTCCTCCTCCTTAACCGTAAGCAGAGTTTTTTTGCACTGTTGTGTTTAAGATGAGACTATAAATATTGTTTAAGTAAATACCTCCTCCAAAATTAGTAGCAGTATTATTTTGAATGGTATTTCCAAATAATTAAACAGTCTTTATGGGATTATCATTACTTAGGAGCATTCTTTTGACTTAATTAGATATTTACTAAATTGATGACTAAAGAAATATTCCTCCTCCATTATAACTGATGCTATTTTAGAAGGTGGATTTGGTTATGTAAGCAACTTTGTTAACTTCTATGTTTATATTTCCTAAAGTACAATTTAGACAGACAATATTGTCAAACACACAATTGCTGATTTCAATAGTATTTCCTTTCAGTTTGATAGCCTATTAATCTTCTTGTTAAGTTATGATTTACTGAAGTTATATTGACTACAATTCAATTAAATTCGCTTATATATGCATTATTTCGTTATTAGTAACAGTATCAAAGTATTTAGAAAATGACTCAGAATAAGACAGAGCATTGATAACCATAATTGGTATTGGTAGGATATATTCAAAGTTTTATTAATTATTTTCATTAAAAATCGTTAATTTTTACTAGAATTGTAAATTACTTATTGACACAACTGTAGCTTAAGCAATATAAATGTAATGATATTATTGATCAAGCTAATTAGGAGTTTATTAGAGTTAGGTTTTCATTTATTTTATCTAATCTTACATGTTTTATATTGTATTAAAAATAAAACAGTCTTAGATATTTACATTTAGTATTTGATTTACTGTAGCATCTAAAAATAGAATAATAGATTGTTTTAATGAGAAGTTGTCTTCTAAGTTAATTTCTTAGAATTTTACATAAGTTTTTACATTTGTTTTTTCAAGATAAATCACAGCGCCTTAGATTGCAAAATTATTCTAAAATTAAGAGTTCTCCAAGGAAATATCTAAAAAATTAGCTAAATTAGTTTAGACATAAATAGCTCCTCCCATGCTGTAAATATTGTTTAAAAATGCTTAATTACTAGCAAACTAACTGTTTCTAATAAGTATTTAGCCTATTCCAGTGCTGCAAACATATATAGCACCTCCATTAATGGCTTTCTAGCCAGTGAATGAAGAGTTGATAATTGATATTTAATCTGCTTGCAAATAAGCAAATCCACCTTTGAGATTAAAGTTGTCCTTTTATTAGTTAATTGTTTAAAATTAACAATTCTTCACAAGAATATTTTGTGAAGTAAAATGCACAACAGGATTGGTTAAATCACTTTAATTATCATTAAAAATCCCATCTTATAAAATCAGCTAGCCTTAACAAATAACATTAAATCCTGGACTTACTTGCAAGTATTAAACCTAGATTAAAATATAAAGATTTGAATAAACAAAAAAATGAAAATAAAAAATATTGAATTACTAATGAAGCAACTTAGCTATAAAGATAGTTGTTAATTAATGTAATATTTTTAATTACTATTTAAGTATCCATGTTATTTTTTATAACAAAAAGACCAACGTTATTTGAAATCTATTTAACTATCAATTAGTTGCTTGTAGCTTCTATTTCTAAAATACTAACTTGTAAAGGCTTTTTCAACAATAAATTATTATTTAATGTGAATACTGTTGCACTAGAAATTATATTTAGTATTTAAATTTTTTGTATAGAAATGATGTTGATTATGTTTGAAAACTTAAACAAGTCTGCTTAGAAGAGTTGAATACCTGTTATAACTCCCTTTGAAATTTAAATATTCTAAATGTTATTTAGATTTAAGATAATAGATGAATAAGAATTGTTTATGGTAAATTTGATCATCCAAAATGATATCGCTGATTACACATAAATGAGATTGTTCAAAGATTAATTATCGAATGTATTGTCAATATTTAAGTTAAAAACATTTATTTTTATTTAATCAGCTGGATTAAGTATGTTTCCATTCAGTCTAAATATTAAACCACTATTAGAAGCAATATTATTACTGGAAATATTGATATCAACAAATATGTAATTAAAGCTATCATTATACACAATAGAAGGTTGTTGATAGTTTTCAAATATTCCATAATTCTTAAAAGTATTTCCTTATACGAGCAATGAGAAAATGTAAAGGATGTTTTACTAGAAAAAAAAAGAATATTGCGAACTCAAAAATTAGTTATTCACCAAAACCAAGTTATTGATCACATTCTTTTAGAAGTAATTGTAAGAAAATATCATGCTATTCTAAGTAATAAAACAGTTTTTTATACTAATATTTGTCCAATTAGAGTATGCACTTTTGCTTTAAATACCTGGCTAAATGTTTATAAAAATACTGCTATTATTGAGACTGCTTTACAATATTTGGAAATCATCTATTTCAATATATAAATTCCCAGAAGCAATCTAAATTAATGAACCTTTGTTAAAATTCATCTGTTTTATTTTAAAATTAAATTAAAAAAAAACACTTAATATATTTCATCTCATAACTTAAATACCATAAAACAATTCAAAATAAGATTAAATTATTTTTTAAGAAATTTTTGATTTTTTAAATGTATGTATGTATGTATGTATGTATGTATGTATGTATTTGAGATTGAAAAAAAAAAAATTACATTAAATAGTGAAGAGTTTTTAGCAATAATAAGAAGTCTAGAGTTATCGAAATTTTAAGATTAATAATTCAAGGTGAAAAAATTAGAATTTTAAATTTAGAAACCTTAAATTGTAACGTTTTTAATATAAAAGACACCTATAAGATTATCCATTTCAAAGATAAAATTATTAACGCTTGTAAACTAATTTAGAATCTGCACATTTGTAAGGTTGACATTTTTAAGAATAGAATTACTTACTTAGAAACCGTATTAGTAATTATAAGTATTTGATATTTAAGTTTATAGCAATAAATTTAAAAAAGTGACATCAGAAAACCCTTGAATTTTAATAGGGATTTTAGACAATATGTTGAGTTAATTATTTTTGTAATTCATAATTGTTAAAGAAAACCTATTGAGAGTTAATATCTAATTAAGAAGTGTGGATTTTATTGATATTTATTAGTTGATTAAGCAAGAATCATCTTTTATTATTAGCTGTACATCAAGGAATTCCAACGAAATTTCATTATAAAATGTGACATATTTGTAAAAGTCTTGCTAATTTATGATAAGTGCATCCCAATTAATTTCATTAGATCTTTGAATATTTATTGGTTGATTTAAAGAGCCGTCTCCTAAATCATCTTGATTAGATCCACAATGACCATAAATTTATCTAGGTAGAAGTTAGTAAGTACATCCTTTATCTTGAACTCTACATAAGACACATTTTTATCTGTAGCTATCATACCTCCACTAATAAATACTTTATTCATTTTAAGGTATCACTTGTGGAATCTATAAATTATCTTTGCATTTTTTACACTTAGAGTTGTATATTAAAAACTGATTAACACTTATATCTCCTCCTTTTTCACATGTTTAGCAACTTTTTTAATCAAAAAAAATTTATTCATTTATTTAGATAAAATCAAATAAAATGAAATTAAAAATATTTTATTAATAAATAAATAAAAAATTAATTTATAATTACGCGTAGGGACAGACATGGCAAGCAGAGTGCTAAGTATTGAAATTCAACATTAGATTAATATCTATGTAGTTTTAATTAAAGTAGAATAAAGCAATGTAGCCGATGATATTTTGCAATTTAGAAATTAAATAGCTTGTGTTGCATTATTAGCATTTAAATATTTAATTATAATAATAGCATTTTGAGCATGTTTAGTCACAATTTAAAAAGTAGCATAAATTATTTTAGTAGTTCAAGTAGTAATTATTGTCACATGAAGTGCAGCTAAATTTATATTATTTGTTTTAAACTGCCTATTACCGAGTACTAAAAGAATAGAAAGGTTAAACAAAAGTCAACTAATCGCTGATATTTACAACTCCATCGCCTATTTTAAAAAAACATTTTACTCCCAGTTTTGATTGTTTTAATTTATTTTACTTAAATAACAAGATGTACAGCCGACAGGACAAGGCAAGCATCCTTCAAAGCTAACAACATATCCAGATTTACATTATGTGCATTAGTAAATAAAGTATCCTTCACTCTAATAAGTGTAACAAAAGTCACAATTTTTTATCTTTTAAGTAAATAAAATTATATTTAATAAAAACATTAAAAAAATGAAAGTTCTTTCTTTCTTGTTTTTTCTTTAAATAATCCAAAATTATTTTATGGAAATTCTAAAAAAAGAAATTTAAAACTATTTTTTTTAAATGAATGAAGAGTTAAAATTTATAGCAAAAAGATTTCCTTTGCGAATCAATTAAAATTGATTAAACAAAAGACTTAATTTCTTTTAAAGATTATTTAATTAGCCTGAATTTCTTTTATATTCTTCTAAAATTAAGAACAATGTTTTAACTAAATTAAAAAGCATTTTTTATTTTAAAGAAATTTTAACATAATTGGAAATATTTAAAAACATTGTTTAAATTTATTTTATTTTTAATGTATTAATTTTAATTTTATTGTTTAAAAATGTATTTAATTTTTTTATGATTAAAATATAATAGGTTTTATTTACATTATCAGTGCATGTCAGAAGAATCTATTTGTTTTAATCAGGTTAAGTTGTAACAAAATTTCCATTTATGTCGTAGTTACATTGGCTTTGCTTGCACTGGTTACATCTTTATACCTTATCGTTGGAATCAAACAATGGCTGCAAACAATTAAATCTAATTTAGTTGATATCTTAATCATATAAACTAAGCTAAGTTTAGTAGCATTAATTATAGGAATTATAATCAAAAGTTTAGAGAAACTAGAGACAGTAAGTTCTAGAATGCAAACACTAAATATTTTATCTATTATAATAACTATCAGTGCAATTAAAACAATATTATGTTGTTTTGGAATTTAATCCCCATGATCCTATTCTTAAAACATAAGGAAAGGGATATAAACTTAGTTAAACAGATTATATTAAATTTAGTTGGACATCACAATTTTGTATGCTAGAAATAAGCTGACAAGTCTGATCATCTTATTTAAATAAATAAATAAAATTAATTTATTTTTATGCTTTAATCAAATAAACTTAGTTATTTAATTAATTAATTAATTACCATTGCTAAATGTATAAGTTGAGTCGATGCACTATACACACTTGTAAACTAAATTCAAATTATCAGTATATTATCTATTAAAATTCACGATTTAGCTATGGTTGTAATTTGTCATACCTTTATTTCATATTTTAATTTCTTAAATTTTTTTAAAGCAAAATAATTTTTAATCCAAAAATAATTTTAAATATCATCTTTAATTTGGTAGGTTGATAAAAATTACTTTATATTCAATAAATGAATAAAAACATTTATTATTAAAATTTTTTTTTAAAACTAAAAAGAAATTCATTTTTTAATCTATCCTAGCAAATTGAGTGGAAAAATTTTTTTTGTATAAATAACATGATAAGCTTTTAGATGTAATTTATTATTTAATTATTTTGCTCAATTTCTAAAAATGAGCTATTTTTTTTCAAAGAAAAATTCATTTTTGCTATTTGAAATATCTTTTTCTTTTTATATTTATTTACTCCAACCTTTTGTTTAAATTTAAGAATACCTGTGTAGCACAGAGAGCAATTTGAACTGCATTACACACACTTATCAAATCTTGAGTTTATGGTAAAGCCTGTATCACAAGTTATACATTTTAGAGTATACTCTTCATTTGAGAGTTTATTCATAAAATCCAAACTGTAAAGACTTTAAGTATCTGTCCAGTCTATGCTTTATCCACTAAAAAATCCTCCAAAAATGCATTTTGTACAATTACTTTAACATCCTACGCATTTTCCATCGTATCTAAGGGCATATTTAGCATTACATTTAAGACAAATGCTTTAATTAGTAGTCCAGTTAAAATAACATGAAGCACATTCATTCCCACCTTTTGATAAATAAATCAATAAATATTTTAATTCAGTGGATTTAAGTTTGTTTTACATGGGTTATCCTATTTCAAGCTAAGAATTATATTGCTTGCAATAGTTGATTAAGAAAATTAATGAAACAATCCTCTTTTATTTATGTATTCGTAACTGACTATTTAACCATTGCTATTCATCTCATATTAAATAAAATTCTAGCAATCAATGAAGTTTTTTTGATTGTAAATAATCCTTTAAGTTAGCAAATCATATATTTATACTTACTATAATGAAAGAGGGAAATCATAAATATATGGCTAAATCTTATATCTATTATTCATAATTATTTATGAAATTTAAATTAAATATTTGCAATTTAATTTAATTTTTTACGTTTATCCTTGATAGAAACCATCTAAAGTGCATAAATAGAATAATCTATTGCCGTTATAAAACAAGTTCTCATCTACGTTTAATTTAATTTCTTAAGGCTAGTTTACGTTTGCTTAAACACAAATGATGTTATTAGGGTCTATTTAAATCAAATAATAGCTAAACAAGCATCTTGTGCATATTTTTTATGATAGACAAGAAAAGCAGCTAATTTTTAATAAATTTATTGAAATTATTATTAAATAGCTAATTATAATTTATTTTAATTTATTTACTTTTAGGGACAGAGTTAATTATCATAAATCCCTATGCTCTAAACTACGTATTACAGATTCAAGTTATTTAAAAAAGTTGATAACTGTTGTTGGGTAATGCCCTATTACTCTAATAAATTATAGCAAATTCCATTTCCAGGCTATATGTAATTAACAGGACAAGATGAACAGAAATTACCAGAAATGCTGGTACATCTACTGTAAGTATCTGCGCATTAAATCTAATAATTAGGATCAACTAGAATTTATTACAAATAAACATTCATGTCATGTATTTGGCAAGGCAGGTCATTTCTAATCTGAACTAAGCACTAATTTGACAACAGCTTCATGTGGATCATAGGTATACAAAATTCTTTTCAAATAAAAATATATTTTTTAAATTTAATATTTATTTAGTTTTTTTTTAGCATTAAATAAATGATTTACTTTAGACTGGATCCTTGCAAGTATATTAAGGGCAAAAATTACAATTATTAGACAAGTAGTAAGCACAATTTCCTAAAAATAAAAATAATTAAATATTTCAGTTTATTTAATTATTTATGAACGAGAAAGGTATTTTTATTTAATTTTAAAAAAATATTTTTTAATCAAAATTTTGATTTTCAGCAATAATAATATTTTGATAAAAAAATTGAATTAAGCACCTACCTATATGATTATAAAAATTATGGATTTTAGGATTGGAATGGGGGAATAATTTATTATAATCGACAAAGAAATTTTAATAGACTTTTTATTTGAAATAATTATTTAATTTTGAATGGAAAAAAGAAATCACCATTATTATCTTAGCAGAGTTAATTATCATTGGTTATTTGAACGCATTATCTAAATTAATTTAGACAGCTAGTAGAATCACATGCAAGACAACCATATGGATTATTTTTATCAACGCACTATTAATTAAGCCCAGCACACATCCCTTACTAAATGTTTTGGCAATAGCTTTAAGAATTCATACAATACTAACCATTTGCACAAACTGACTAATTATTTTAAATTAAAATAATGCATTAATTAATATGCTACCTAATTAAAAATTGTATTTTTTACAGCTTTTATACTGCTCATATCTTTCACTAATATGCAATTTTAATTTCCTATCTAAATACCTGATTAATAAAATTTGGATGAAAATAACTAAGAAGAAAAGCCATTAATAACTAAATTAAGAATTATTGAGATTAATTAGAAATTGTGTGGTTTTCTTACAAAATTTGTTTAATTTAAGCCACTTATCTCAGCTGACAAAATGCAAAAAGAATTCAATTAAATTCAAAAGAAGAAGAAAACAAATTAATTTTGAATTAAGTTAGCAAATAAATACCTACAACTCCATTTATATTATCAACTTTCACACAATAAATGCTTTTAGATTTCTAATTAGATTTTAAGCAATAACTTTTATAAATAAAAATAATTTAACTTTTAAAGTATTGCTTTTAAATATTAATTACTCTTATTAGCATTAAACTGCAATAGCTTCTTAGTCTTTTATTAAACATTTGTAATTTTTATCTCTACCAATATAAATATCATTGTATTTTTAACACGAATTATTTTCATTTAAACAATAACCGTTTGAACATTATACTGCGACTGTCTCTCCTTATGATAAGCAATCTCCTTTGTCATTAGTTCCAATTTTAGAATATAAAACCTAAGAAGAGCATTGTCCATTTGAGCTAGCCAATGAATTTGTGTTAGCCAAGCCATTTAAGAAATAACAATAGCCACTATACAAACATATTTCTAACATTTTAAAGTTACAACTAACTAAAATAGGACTTATAACATTTGGTTAACATTATTAAGGACAGCTTTAACAATATAAATTTGGTAAATACACACATTGCTCAGATAATGATTTTCCTACAATATTTGCATCACTTAAGAAGCTAATACATTGGTTATTGCTAACGCAATATCCATCTAAACACTGTTGTAGAGGATAACTTGGATCAGATGATTAATCAGAGCAATAATCCTTTATAAGTAACTTTCCTCTATAGCCTTTTTTATCTTACAAAGGCACGCAATTATTTGAAGATTATTCTAGGCAGAAATTTGGAGCACAATTAATAGAAATATTTGTTTAAGAGTCAATTGATAAACATAGTTCTGTTATTTTTTGTTTAGCTATTTAATTAATCTTTTTATAATCCAATTTCACACAAGACTTAGTACCTCCATCGCCAGGTAAGAGACAATAATCAAACCTACATCTATTTTTTTTATTTCAATTACATAAAAATTTTAATTCTACTATTTAAAATATCAAAGCTATCATTCCTTAATATTTATCAAAAAATAAAATATTATCTATCCTTAAAAAATCCGCTTTTTACAATTTAAAATATTAAATGTTTTTATAGATCCTCATTGTATAAAATTAAAAAGGCATTTAACTCTATATACTATTCTTATTATGATTAGAATGAGGATTTACAAGATATATTTTAATTTTGCGTGTGTATGTTAAATTAAATAAAAATACATAAAACTAACTAAGGAATCGATAGATTTTTTTTATTTATTTTTACTTTGAAGCTTAACCATTTTATGTGCCAGATATTATGCAATTTTAGGTATTATCATAACCAATAATGTTGTATGGATTGGTTCTATCATTGTAATCTGCACATCTGTATTGAATATTTATTTGTAATATGCAATAAGCAGGTAAGCAGTAGTTTATTACTTGAGGTATAAATTAATAGGACAAGTAGTAGCAGTAATTATTTGCTATTTTACCCTAGTTTAATTAGGTAAAATAAAAATATTTTATATACTAATTTATTTAATAAAAATATCTTTTGTAAGTAATAAAAAATAAATACCACAATTTAAGATTAATAGTAGGGTAAAAATTTGCAATATGTTATGCTATCGGCACTATCATAATCTAAACATACTGTATTCCTACTTGAAGAGCAACTCATGATGTTTGTGTCATTTTTATAGCTCATATCGCAACCATTTTATCCATCAAAGCCAATAAAAGTATCTAAGCTATCAATTTGGACACAATCAGTACTATAGCCTGTTATCTTTCCAAAAAAATCATATTATGGTGTAGATTTAACGCAGTTTCCATCTTAGCATTAAACGCAATCTCTATTAAACTAGCAATTTCTATCTTTATCATAGCAATTATAACCATTTCCTAACATTTTCATTTGGCAAAGCTTAAACTAAGCATTTGTTTAGATTAAGCAGTCATTTCTATTAGAGTAAAGAACAACATCATCGCTATCATCGCTACCTATTTAGTTGAAAAATTGTTTAAAATAGCACAATTAATTTCTCAGTCTTACATTAAAAATCTTGATCATAATCAGAACAATAAAAATTAGCTGTATAATATTTATCGCCATTACCATCTTTATGCGATTTTTCATTTCTTAATATGATGATGGCTATATTCGGATCACCATTTTAAGTAACTTAGTAAACAAATGTGCTATAATACTATAATTCCTATCCAAAATATCCTAAACTAGTACATCCAGATGAAATGCATTATTTTACTAAGCATAGAGCACAAAAAAAGCTTAAAATATTATAAATCATTTAGCTTATTAAGTAGACTATTAATTTGATTAATAAATAAATAAATTAGTATTTTGCTTTTGTTTTATTCTAAATTCAAAATTAAACTCTTCTCCTAATACCCAAAATCAAATTGTTTTTTAATCTAAAATTTATTATTTCCTTTTACTATTTGATTAAAAATTGTTTACAAATTCTAAAATATAAAAATCAATTCTGAAGAAATTTAATTTACTTATCTACATCAATCACTCCTTCCAAATAAAACATTACATTAAGTTAAATTGATCTTTTTTCTTATTATATTAATGATTTAAAGACTATGAAAAAGTAATAAAAAATATCAAACTTTCTCAGACCAGCTTTCTAATTCATTCATTCATTCATTCTGTAAAATCTGGAAAGAAATATTTAATTAATTTAACCATTTAAAAATATAATGCCTAAATTACATTTTTTATTTATTTATTTTTATAATTATTTTAATATTAATTTCGTTTTCATTAACAAACTGAAAAAAAAATTCAACGTATCAATTTCACTATTTTTAAATTATAGGTCTCACTATTAATTTTGATTTTTTGAAATATTAATTTAATCCTACAAAAAATACAAACCTATATTCACTATTGATAATATATATTTTAATTTTTGAAATATTAATTTAGTCCTGTGAAAATTACATTCATACATGCCTAATTATTGTTGTTGATATTATTAATTTTACTTTTTTGAAATATTAATTTAGTTCTGCAAAAAATACAAATATAGCTAAACGCCTAATTAAAATCTAGTGGTATGGAAATCTCTAGCTAGATATTAATTAATTAGGCTAGGTTTTTAAATAAAAAAATATATTTTTAAAATAATTTTATGATAGAATTATTTTAGATAAAAATAAATCTATTTAAAATAAAATAAATAAATATTTTCCTCTAGAAAAAAATAATTAAAAATAAAAGCCTTTCTAAAAAAATAGTGATTCCATATTATAGCTATATTTTAGAAAGGGATTTAGCTATATTGAAGAAAATTTAATTGATTATTTAGAAAAAAAAGTAAATACTAAAATGAAATACTAAGAAATTAGTTAATGACTAAATAAAATAAATATTGAAAAGAAAAAAGAAAAATCAAAATTTTTATCAAATAATAATAAATAAATTCATAAAAAGTTTTTTATTTCCTAAATTAATTTTAATATTAAAAAATATCAATATGCAAAATTAATAAATAAACAGTTTTTTTTAGAGGCTAAAGACCGGAGTTTGTATGTATCTTCCTCATCAAATTATTGTAATCTTTTAAACATTAAAGAAAATTTACTTATTTAATTAATTAGAAGGAAATACTAAGAAAAACAATCAAATAATATGAAAATAGCCAAAATTATTTTAGCTTTTTAAATATTCAGTAAAATAAAAAGTATTGTTTTCAGGAAAAAAAATGAAGAAAAACAGTAAGAAATTATAAAAAATAAATAAATTAATTAATTAATTTTTAAAGTAAAAATTAAAAATGATTTAAAATAAGCAAAAAACTTATTTTTGTCAATAAAAATTAAAATTGATGAAAGTAAAAATATAAAAAAATAATATTTTAAATAAAGAGTAAAAAATAAGATGAGTAATAAATGCTAAATTTAGTTTAATTTACTTGAGATTAATATGAAGAATTTTATGAAACTAAAGTGAAGAGTTTAAATCACTTTTTTATTTTATAAATTATCACATTTGTGGATCTTAGAATTTTTATTCTATTAAGTCATTTGAAAGGTAAATTAAAAAAAGTATTATAAAAATATTTAATGAGAAATTTTATTCTAATTAGTGTTTATTTGGAATAAACAAAAAATATATTTTCATCACTAAATTTTCTAAAAAAATATTTAAAATTTAATAGTAAAAATGTTAAAAGGAAGTTTCTAAAAAATGATTAATTAGAATTATTTTAAATTTAGATAAATATTTATTTTTCCTTTTAATTAGCTTATAAAACTTTAAAAATATTGGTTTAATAATTAAGCTATTAAAGAAATGAATAATTGTACATTTAGTCTAATGTAGCGCTTATATTTAATACTTGTTAGTCATATTTTTACGTTTTTATAATTGATTGATTAATAAATTATAAGCAAATATTGATTATTTATTTTGTAGTTCTACAAATAATAACTATAGAAAAAATAAGATGAAGAAAGTTTCTAACTTAAAAACAAAAGAGGAAACAAAAATTCCTGAGAGTGATAAAAAAAAGATTAATTTGAAGCAAACTTCAAAACCAAGTGCATCATCTAAAGTAAAATATTTCATTTTGAAGCAAATTATAAAATTAAATTAAATTGATAGACAATCAATTCGACAGAAGGAATTGTTCAAAAATAGAGCATAAAAACTTTAAATGCAACTTAATAAAAGCAGTAGAAAGAAAAGGGAACTGTTGAAAAAGCAAATAGTTCGTCTAAAGTTCCATCTTCTACTAAAATGGAGACGAAATAAGTAGATTTATAGAAACCTATGAAGAAAGCAATTGAGAAAAAAGATAATAATAATAATAATGTAAATTAAACAATAAAGAAGTCTTTACCTGCATATAAATTGACTAAAGAAGTATTTAAAATGGTTAACAAAAATGTCATTTAGATCATTTTAAGTTTTTTGAATGCAAAGGAGGCATTTAAGCTTGCGATCACTAGCAAATCAATGAATGAATTAACAAAATAAGCATTGTAAAGTACCATAAGTTATTTAGAAGAGAAGAAAAAATAAATAAAATTAATGAACAATTTGAATGACGACTAAGTAAACGCAGTAATTTACTTAAAACATTTCTATATATTTAAATCAAAATCTGGTTGCTACATTTCATCTCATTATTTTAACAATCCTGATTTGAAAGCTCTGATTTACACTTTATGGCAAGTAGTAGCTGAATAAAAATCTGAAGGTGCTCAGTATTTTAACAGAGATCTTAAGGATGAACATTACTATTTTTAAGTATACCATAACCTTCAAAATGCCAAAAAAGAAAAATTACATATTATAGAAGAGTGTCTTAAAATATACACTGATGAACATATTGATAATCTACATCAATAATATTCTTATATGAAGACCTACATAATTTTATTCTAAAAATACTTAAAAGGAATTAAATTATACTCAGAATAGAATTTAAACTATTAGACACTTTCGAACTTAGAATAAGCCTATTTCAAATTTCTTTTTAATATTGATTAAAATATTTATTTCTACAAGTAAATGCTAAAATAAAACTAAGAAACAATTCTTATTTTTTCATTTGACTTCTCTAAAGGTTTTAGACCTAAAAAAATTAATTCTTTCCCATCAAATTTATTTAGTTGAATACTTAATCAATCAATAAGTGTATTCTATTCATTCATTTTGCAATTAATTGTTTATATATGAGTATTTTCAGTGTAATATGCCAAATTCATTATCAAAAGTGATATATTTTCTAAACTTTATTTGAAATAGTCTATTTTTAAATAATTTTAAATAAACATATAAGGCATGCAAAATATTTTTTTATAAAATATATATATATACTGTAAATGCTCATTAATTAAGGCATTTTTTTCTTAAATTTTTTATTTTTTCGATTATGGTGTCAGAGTAGGCTTCAAAGAAAGATAGGGAGAAGTGTCCTTATTTAATGAGGATTCAGAGTATATTTATTATATCTCGCATGCTTTTTGTAAATTTAATAGGCATTTCAGTTTATTTTAAAGACAACTAATCTTTTTGATTTAAGACACTTGGTTTTTACTTTCAATTTTTATGATCCATTAATTTAATTATAACTATTAAATTATATTAAAAATTAATATACAAATAAACATTAGCAGAATAAAAATGAAAAAGAAAATTAAATCAAATAAATAAATTAAAGATTTATTTATCTTGTTTTCAATTTAATTTTATAACGAAAAATATCATAATCCAAAAAAAATAAACTGTTTTTACAGAAGATCAAGTGTCAAATTTAAGAGATTACTGCAATTTGCTAAAGCAGAACCTAAGCCTGATGTACCTTCATCACGAATTTGGTTATCACTTTTTAAATATTGAAGAAAAAATAATTAATTAATTAGTTAGTTAGTTATTTAGAAGGAAAAAATGAAGAAATATTATGAAATAATATAAAAATGAATTAATAATTAATATAATTAAATGTTCAAAATAAAAACAATGAGTTAAATTAAGAAAGATATAAGAAAAAAAACCAAAAGTACAACCAAAAAGAAAAGAAAAGTTTATCAAATAAAAAGCTGATAAACAAATTAAAAGATTTATCTTGTTTTCAATTCATTTTTATTACAAAAAATATCACAATCCAAAACAAATAAATTGTTTTTACCCAAGATTAATTTTCAAATTTATGAGATTAGTGAAATTTTCTAAAGCCAAACCTAAGCCTAATGCTCCTTAATCACCAATTTTATTTGTACTTTTTAAATATTGAATAAAAATAAATAATTAATTAATTGTTTAGAAGGAAAAAACAAAAAATGAAATAATAAGAAATGAATAAATTAATAAATAATAAAATCAAACGCTGAAAATAAAAAAAATGAATGAGTTAAATTAAGAAACATAGAAGAAGAAAAAAAACAAGTACAATCAAAAAGAAAAAGAAAAGCAAATCAAATAAAAAGAAAATAAACAAATTAAAGAGTTTTCTTGTTTTGAATTCATTTTTATAACGAAAAATTTATCAATCCAAAACAAATAGACTGTTTTTACTAAATTTCAAGCACCAAATTTGACAGAGTAGTGCAATTTGCTAAACCAGAACCTAAGCCTGATATACCTTAATCACCAATTTAATTGCCCCTTTTTAAATATTGAAGAAAAAATAAATAAATAAATAATTAAATAGTTAGTTAGTTATTTAGAAGGAATAAATGAAAAAAAAATTAAATAATAGGAAATAAATTAATAAAGGTAAATGTCGAAAATAAAAAAATGATTTAAATTAAGAAAAATAGAAGAAAAAAATCACAAGTACTTACAATGAAAATTAAATCTAATAAAAACTATCTAATAAACAAATAAATTAAAAGAGTTATCTTGTATTCAATTCATATTTATAACAAAAAAGATCACACTCCAAAACAAATAAACTGTTTTTACTAAAGAAAAAGTTCCAAATTTGAGAGATTAGTGCAATTTCCTAAAGCAGTACCTAAGCCTGATGCACCTATTGCACCAATTTAATTGTAACTTTTTAAATATTGAAGAAAAAATTTAAAATTAATTAATAGTTTAGAAGGAAAAAATCTTAAATAATAAGTAATGAATGAATCAATATATAATAAAAGTAAATCCTAAAAATAAAAAAATAAATGAATAAAAATTAAATTAAGAAAGATACAAGAAGAAAAAAACAAGTACAATCATAAAAATAAGAAAAGTAAATCAAATAAAATATTAGCTAATAAACAAATTAAAAAAGTTATCTTGTTTTCATTTATTTTTATAACTAAAAATATCACAATCCAAAACAAATAAACTGTTTTTACCAAAGATCAAGAGACAAAATTGAGAGATTAGTGCATTTTGCCAAAGCAGAACCTAAGCTTGATACACCCATTGCACCAATTTAATTGTCACTATTTAAATATTAACGAAAAAATAAATAAATAAATAATTGGTTTTTTAAAAGGAAAAAATGAAATAATATAAAAATGAATTAATAATTAATAAAAGTAAATGTTGACTGAAAATAAAAAAATGAATTAAATTAAGAAATAAAGAAGAAGAAAAAAACGCAAGTAAAATAAAAAAAAATAAGGAAATTAAATCAAATAAAAAGCTAGCTTATAAACAAATTAAAAAATTATCTTGCTTTCATTAATTTTTATAACTAAAAATTTCGCAACCTAAAACAAATAAAATAAACTGTTTTTACCTAAGTCCAATTATCAAATTTGAGAGGTTAGTGCAATTTACTAAAGTAGAACTCAAAACTGAAGCACCTTCATCATCAATTTAATTTTCACTTTTTAAATATTGAAGAAAAAATATAAAATTAATTAGTTGTTTAGAAGGTAAAAATGAAGAAAAAATAATAAATGATATAAAATTCAATTAAAAATTAATAAAACTAAAAGTTGGTTGAAAATAAAAAAATGAATTAAATTTAGAAAGATAGTATGAAAAAAAAGCAAGTACAATAAATAAAAAAGAAAGAAAAAAGTAAATCAAATAAAAGGCTAGCAAATAAACAAATAAATTAAAAGAGTTATCTTGTTTTCAATTCATTTATTTTTATAACGAAAAATTTGACAATCCAAAACAAATAAACTGCTTTTTATTGTGTAAAAGTAAGTTTTAGAAGGAAAATAACTAAAATAATATCAAATAATAAAAAATGGATAATTCATTTAAAAAATTTAAATTGAAATAAAAATAACTAAAATATTTTTATAAAAAATTAATGAATATAAGTGATAATTTCTATTATAAAAATAATATTTTAAATAAACTGAAAGTTATATTTTTTTAGTAAATAAATATAAATAAAATTTACTAGAGATTAATATGGAGTACCTAATGAGATTAAAGTGAAGACATTAAAAACTTTTTATATTAGCAAATATAAATTTAAAGTATATTGATAAAAAAATTAATAATTACTTCTTCTAATTTCTCGTAATATTTAACCTATTATATCATTTATTTTTTTCTAAAATATTCAATATCAATTTATGGAAATTTAATTAATTAATTATAAGTTGATAAAAAGAACAAATAAATTATGTAAATTTATAAATTTATTTTTAGTAAGAGTAAACACAAAAAAGATGTGTAACAAACAAACAAACATTAATTGTTAAATCTTAATATTTCTATTTAAAATGTTTACTTAAAAATAAAGTAGGAACTAGATTTTGGATATAAAGTGTAATGAATAAGAAAGCAAGCTTACTAGAATAAAATAAATTTTTGAGTAATTAGATTAAAATTGATTTTTTTTTTTTTGGCATATTGGATTATGCCATTTGCGCCAGAAATCCTATCTTATTATATATATAAGATAAATTAAAAATTTGAGAAAAAAAAACAAAAATAAACATTATAACCACAAAAGTTAAAATAAAAAGTAAAACTTGATTTTGAGGTTTTATGAATCTAATTAATCAAGATAAATAAAAAAAGGATAAAAATATTATTGATGGATAATATATAAGATTAAAATATAACTGGCATATAAAAGTTTGGCATTTATATAATTTAATAAGATGTAATATAACACTAAAAGTTTCAAATTATTTGATCGTTTTTGGAGAAACCAGAGGGTTTGCTTATGAGGATTTAATTTTTTTATTTTTTATAAATAATTTATTTACTTTAAAAAATATGAATGATATTTATAAATATAAAATCAATAATAAAATCTATTTATCTATTTATATTTTAGGGTAAAAACACTTTTTCAAAATATTATAAAATAAAATATATAATATTATTCAAACATTTTATATTTATTCATCCGTTTTTCACCAGTTGTTTATCAGA